GAGAACTGGGCATCTTCTGATGGTGCAAGAGTGTGTTTGCAGTCCAGAAAGCAAATAGGTTCTGTAGAAAATTCCCGTGATGACAATGTATTCCTTCTTCTGAAGTCCAGTCAGTGTTTAATTTCTGTTCTGTACCAAAGCTTTGTATTACCTATGCTCCTGTATTTATATTCATAGGGCTAAGTACAGTGTGATATCACAAGATCCGTTTTCAGAACCTTTTTACTTTTAAGGCTCATTTCTTAATGCCACTCCAGGCAACAGTTCTATGGAACCATTGAATCACACTAAATACATTTTTTCGACACGCAGTTATTCACAGATCTGGTGATATGACTGGGTTTCCAATCTCTATGGCCCTGCATGACCTGGATTGGCCACCATAACAGACACTACAGTAATGCATTTAAAAAAAAAAAAAAAATCCCAAACAATAAGGGACACAAAAAGAATTAAATGAAGAATGAAAGTATTCCAATCCCTAGGATATTTTTTTTTTTTAAACCGAACCAATAATAATAAAAAAAACCACACAAAACAGTACCTGGCTCCAAAGGTAACTCTTCAAGTTCCTGCAGTAAAAATGATAAAAAAACCAGAAATATCACTATTTCCTAAGAAGTCATGATATTATTCTGAAAGACATCTCTCTCCCCCCCACCCAAGACAGAAAGGAATTTGGGGAGAGTTAGTATAAATTAGCCTACTTCAGCTTTCAAAAGGTTGAATTTTAAATAAATTTCTCACAAGAAGGTGTAATGTTAATTTTTAAGGTCTTAAAATTTTACAAAACATGTAAAAACTTCACTACTTCTCAAATTCAGACACCTGTTGAACATAGCACACATTGGCCTGGCTAAGTAAATCAACAAGTTTAAGTAGAATAAACCAAAGCTTCTCTTGGTGTAACCCTTCTCTAGGGTCCACTTCCTAACATCTTTCTGAAAACAGGATGAATAAAAACATCAGCTTCACCTGGAGCTACAGGTGTCATTAACATACCATGAGCGATCTTGAAACAAAGCCAGCATTTCTGGAACAGATCGGTTTCAGCTTTCTTGTCAACAGGGGATATGTACACTTTTGATGGAAGTTAAATATAATGTAAGGCACTGAGTCAGTTTATACAACAGATGAAAACACTTCAATCTACAACTGAAGTGCTGCAGTTAAACTCCCAGCCCTGAAAAAGGGTTGGCATATGGATGATGTCCAAAACCAGGCAAGACCCTCCAAATTGGTTTTCACCCAGGGTCTGGCCAGTCTTGTGTGGCTACTTGTTAGATCACCACCAGGTGCCCCCACTTTCCACATTAACTTGGAAGTGGGTCAAGAAGCCACCTCTGTAAGAACTGACTCTGCATGCAGTGGAGTCAGGAGGTCTGTCCACATAGTGCATGTGCTGTGTGGGGATTCTGGGTATCAGAAGGGCTCCCTAACTCTTCATGGCAAACAGAGTTAGCAGGGTCAGGACATTAAGCTGTCCGAGTACCTACTACATAACTGGACTCATGGCTTGGCTACTACCATTGCCCACAGCTTGGTTCCTGGGCTGGCTTGCTTACTTCTTTGTGTCAGCTACAGTGGGTGAGTGCATTGACTTGTTCCTCGCTCTGGTTGTCTGGCACTTTGTATCTCTGGTGTGTTATGTAGTAGCAAAGGGAGAAGTGTGGCTGGCGATCTGCCTGTTAATGATAACATCATTCTGTATTGGGCAATTAGTCAACAGAAGAACCAAACTCAGTCAAATATGTATGACCTGATAAACAGAGAGATCCATCTTCATCCACATGGTTAGAAAGGCATTAGTTCCTGTCCTTTACAGCATAGGAATGCACCACTGTGTAATATGTGTACTTACACTGTTTCAGCATACAGTTTATATGGCATATGCCTTTTTGTTTGTAAAGAAAAACACTGGTTACCATTTACCTTTATCACAGTTAAATCAGATGAAGAGGCATCTAAACTGTTTCCAACATCTTCAGTCTCTACCTTTAAAAAGTAAACAGAAGATATTTTGTTATCTAGAGGAGAATGGTATTGTGAGTGAAACCTGAATGAGGAATAAAAACTTTATTTGCACTGGCAACTGATACTAAGGACATATACCTAGCATCTAAACCAATAAGGGTAAAAATGGACCAATGACCCCCACACCTCTTCCCAATCCCCAACAACCAAAAAAAGCTTTCTCATTACCTCTCAATAATGTTGGTCAGCTCACAATAATCTTTTAAGGATGGGGATTCCAACAGCAAGTTTCCTCTTTCTCTCTTATTTAGAAAAACAATAGAGCCAAGATGTATATGGGACTCTTAACTATTTTCTTTCTGATAAAAGATGACCACAGGAGCTTACCTGGACTTTGGTAGTTTAGTCACTGAAAAAATGTACTTTTTGGGTACTTCTTTTTGACTTCAGGATAGGGGGTTAAACTTATCTCTGCAGCTTCCAGATATGGGGGGCAAGGGGGAAACCATTCAACTTTAGAATCTTGTAGTCCACACAGATGACACAATGTATACGTGCACAACAAAGAGCTATGGTGCCCTATTAGACGGGGCAGAAATAACTTTCTTCAAATGCTTTGCTGTACATTTCAGGAGATAAACACTTGACTTTGAGGGCCCAGACTGACAATGTCATTTAAGTAGGGCAACAGCCAGATGGACACGGAAAGCCAACATAAAAATACTTTCAATAACTAAGTTACTGTGAGACTCTATCTTAACAGAAAAATAACCTAGGATATAGTTCCCAGAATACTGCTGTTCAGCTGAAATGAAGTAAATAAGGCTACAGCACTTGTATGCCTCGTACATCCTCCTAAATAAAGACATGAAAATGGGAATGTAAACATAAGGCAAGGCAGAGAGTTCAAAGCATAATTAAAAATGAATGCTTCCTGGATTACTATGAATTTGTACAGTCATATGTGTACAAACAAAACGTATGCATTTTAAAGTCAAGAATGCTATTTCTACAAATACGTAGAAGGAAAAAAAAAAGCAACGACCACAAGAACTAGTAGAGCCCCAAACTGTTTCCAGTACTCTTTAGCTACTCTTTTGCTATTTAATTTTTAAAAACTAAATAAATAAAGGAAAAAATAATCTGATTCCACACACATAAGAGATGCATACCATCACTATTGGTATTTCTCTTGATTCTTCTTTAATTTCTGAAAATTGTGGGGACGCCTCCAAGTTACCTACAGCAAATTCTGTAGGCTGATCTGGAAGTTCTTTCACTTCTGCATCAGCATTTTCTTTACTATCAGACAGTGAGTCAAGAATATTATCAGCACTGTAATCCTCTCCGCAATCTACCGCATTGCCATTATCTATTTCAGCTTCATCTAACACACTAATATCCATCATGTCAATATCCTGCAAGTTATCCAAACTTGCTTCAATATCCTCCTGTAAAGAGAAGAAAAGTATATATAATAGTCATTGTAACTTGAATGCAATGCTACCACTATTTTCCTTCAAACACAGCCCCACATACCTGTCCATCTCCTGAATCCTCTTCCAGTCCATTATCTTCTACTCCCTCTTCATCTGGTCTACGTCCTAACAATATGATCGTTAGAATGAAAAGAAGGTAACATTATATATTCTTCAGATTTTAATTTTAATCAGAGTCAGTATTCCATTCAATATAGTTATCTGCTTTCTCCTTTTTTTTCCACAACTGAGTGTTCATGTAACATCCCAGTTCAGTAGCTAGCAGACCCCAGATTGTAGCATGTTTATCACAAGCTTGAGAGGCACTGCTGTGCACTCCTCAGAACATTTAGCTCAGCTAAGACAACAATAATTTATTATCTTATTTATTACCTTTCATTTATTTACAGACATTTACTAGAAGAAAAAGATTTAAAAAGCAACCAAATGAAAAACTTAACACAAAAAAACACTGCAATGCTTCATTCACCAGCTGGACACAAGAACTGACATAGCAGAATCCAGTACACTAGTCTCAGTACCAAATAGTGAATCCTCTAACTCAGAGCTGAGTAGTTGTTTCATCTTTTATGAATGTTATTGAACATTGAACTCCCTTGAAAACTGCAAGCACATAACAATAAAAAAGGGAAAGTGGATTTAGAGCCAAGAGGAACATCTCATCTCTTTCTGTCCCAACACTAAAAGTGCTATAACACAGGTTAGGTATTCTTCTGAGACTTGGAAATGAACATGATTACCAAAGATCTCTCTGCTTTTACCCACAGGTGTGACATGTTCTCTTACCACTTAAGATTTAACATTTTAGTTCACATGCAAATGTAATATCATTCCAAACTGGACACAACAAAAATCTGGGTCAAATACATTGGTTGGCAAAACATTTAGCTTCATCTCACAAATTTACATTGTGTAAATCAAAATAACTTAATATCCTTCATTGAAATTAGTTATTGTGCTGAGCTCTAACACAACTTTCACTATAATTTGATTACAAAATAAAACCAAACTGTGCTAATTGTTAGTAAAATAGCAGATAATTTTTCTTCATCAGCATTATGTAAAACCATGTCTCACCATTAGAAAAATCATGCGCAAAGAAAGCCTTAAAACCATATCCAATTTCAAGTTTTGTTTAAAAACCAGCCTTCTAGGGAGAAAAATGAGACTGCTATTAGCTATGAAACACAAAACACTACAGAGATTATTCTGAAGTTGCTAAAAAACCTGCCTATCTACCTCAAAAAAAACCACCACAACATTAATATTTCTCATAAGTAAAAGAGGCACATAAAAAAAAACAATTACCTATTTTAAAACCCACTGACAATGCTGCAGCATTACTTAGTATTTCCTGCCACAAATGTCAGGGAACTCCAAGAACAAACCAAGAAGTCCTTCCAGTGGACCAATTCCTGCCTTATGTACATCAAGTTCTGTGAATAAATCACCAGTAAGTTTAATACCATACCACCCATCTCTAAAAATCTGACAACAATTACGGGGAGGAGTACAAGCAACATATGGCATTAAGAGTCGGAACCAAGCAACAGAAGATTCAAGTGTGCTTAATTTCTTCCAGAGAACCAGTTTTACCCAAATCTGGCTAGGTAAGTAATGTTAACTATAGCTTTAGGACTGCAAAACATTCAACAACAGTGCCAGAATTAAACCAAGCACTTTTTCAAAGAGAAAAGCAGACTTCAGGAAGATAAGCCAAGTTCCATTTCATGAGTAAAAGTTGTGATATAACACCAATAAGTAACTGAAGAGAAAACTCAAGGGGGACAGGGTAGAGATTCTCTCTAACTGCCCTGTACCTTTGCTGCTTCTTTTTGGAGTTTTCTTCATATTTTCTGAAACCACTGGAATTTCATCAGGATTCCCCCCTTCCTCCTCAATAGCCTATTAAGAGGAAAAGATAAAGACAGATATCAATACAAATGTAAAAATTCCATCTGTGTACTTCTGTTGTGTTTAAAAGCTGGACATCAGAGGAAGAAAACAAAAATGTAGTGCTTTGAATTAGCACCAGCTTGGATACACAAACCAAAAGACAACCAGATCAAAGCAACAAGCACACTGAAAACATGTTGGTGTAAAGCATATTTCTGGAAAGCAGTAAGCAGCATAACCTTGACCAAAAAAGTCTGCAACAGTGTTTACAACAGTGCAGATATCCATGGCAGTGCGACAAAGAACCTCGGCTCTAAGAGACGGCAAGCATCAGGTTCAGTGAAGGCTGTCCACGTGCTGCTAACATACCAAACATTCTGATGAGGATACAGTGTACAAGCTACCAGCTAGAAAGCCAGGAGGAAAAAAAAAAAAAAAAATCAGTACGCTGCAAAAAGCTTAATAGATAGTGTATAGAACTGTAAATCCAGAAGCTCAATGCACTGCGGAAAGCCCGGTGATGGAAGAGGCTAAAATGGTGGGGCCGGGTACCGCAGCGGACACACTGTGCTGCGCGGGGCCGGGAGACTGGAGGTGGGGGCTCGCTGCGTAAACGGAAACGCCAGACTCGCACACACATACACCTCACCGCTAATACACGAGATCGGCGTCTCAGAGACGAGCCTATGACGACCAAGCCTGGGGCCACGCTCACCACGTACGGAAGGCTCGCACCGGGCCTGGCGGGCTCCACGAAACCACCCCCAGAGCCCAGCGAAAGGTCCCTGCTATCCGCAGGCCCGTTCCCTCCGCTCTGCGGCCGCTTGGCGCCATTTTCCTCGGCAGTGCCTGGCGAGCAGGAGTCACAGAATCACAGCACACGACCCGGCTACGCCTTCCCCCCGGCAGCCCCGGCGCGTCTCCTGCTCACCCTCCTCAGCCGCTCCATGAGGACGCTCTTGTTTCCACTGCTGTCCAAATTGCGGCGCTTGAGTTCAGCCCGCAAGTCTATCACGCGCAGCTCGCTCAGCCGCCGCCGGTTTTCAGGCTCTGAACTGGAGACTCCAGACCCACCCAGGGACGCAAATTCTCCCTGCCCAGCAGCTGCCTGACTGTCTGCCATGAGGCCGTTGTTTCAACTCGCACACGCGGAGCAAGGCACAACGGCGAAAAGCCGCAACTACACCACAAAATGGTGGCAAAACCAAGACGCACTTAAAAGAAAGGGGGAGGAAAAGAAACTGCAGCCCGCACGCGCGCTGACCAGACCGCCCCGACGAGTTGCGCGCAGGCGTAAGAGGACCGCCTCGCCGCCGACGCGGGCTACTGTAAGTGCGTACCCGTCCTAATTCCTTTGACGACAGCGCCGCAGGAACGCGCAGCCGTGATCTGTTTTGGCCCTCGGACGCATGCGCGAGCCCCCCTCAGACACTGGCTGTGCCACCGGCGCCTGCGCCATAGTTCTCATTCAAGTTGTCTTCCAAGCCCCGCCTTCCCTCCCTCCCCCCGCTCCTCATCGCCCTTCTTTCTGAGCCTGCGCGTAGTGGGGTTTTCCCCCTCCACTTGGTGAGTCTTGGTCTCCCCACCATTTTGCGCTGTGATCGGACGGTTAGCTGCTGGGTTGTGCCGTATTCTCCCGTGCGTTTGGGCTTGAGGTGGAATATCGAAGGGGCCTTGATGGCGGAGAGTCAATCAGCGGCCGGGCTGGGGGACTTCACATCCCTTGGTGGGGCTGCGGCTTTCGGCTCAGAACCCGAAACCCGGCGGCTGAGCGAGCTGCGAGTTATCGACCTGCGGGCCGAGCTCAAACGCCGTAACCTAGACAGCGGCGGCAACAAGAGCGTCCTCATGGAGCGGCTGAGGAAGGTGAGACGCGAACTCAAAGGGGGAGGGGGAGGTGTCATCCGGGTCCTTTGTCCCCAGCCCGAGGGCGCTTGGCGCATGCGCGCTTGGCGTCCCAAGCCGCTGTGCCGAGGGGACCCGTGAGGGGAACGCGAGCTGAGCTGTGGAGTCGCATAGAGCCACTGTGTCCTTCCGCTGCTCATGGGGAGGCGAGGGGCGTCCTCCGGCACCGGCGCGCTTCTTTTCTCAGACCGCTGTAGAGCCGTTCTCCGTGTGGGGACCGCCAGCAGCCCCGCTGCAGTGCTGCTTCTTGCCACCGCCCCTTCCTGTATCTCTTCTTTTGCTTCCTCTGTGCACACTTCACCTCACTCCTTTTCATCCTACCTCTCCGGCATGTATTTTCACAGGCTTCCTTGAGGTGGAACAGCGTAGTCGGTCCTGATCCTTTCACAAGTTCTAGGGGGCCTACACGTTGAGAAAAAAAATAGTCTGATGCGCCTGAGTTCCTGCAGCGTGCTTGTCTGCTGAGTAGGGAGGGAGCCTTGTTTATGGATGAGGGGAACTTTGCACCTCAATCGTAGGTTGATCTGGCTATGGGGTTGTGTTAAAACACCTTACTATTATTCAGTGTTTCTAATGGCTGATAGGGCTGCATGATGTGAACTTGGGTAAGGTTAATGATTCCATCTGAAACATCCTTAAAAATGCTGTTGTATTGGCTGCTCACTTGTCTCCCTGCAGCAGGATGGGGGTGAGAACTGGATAAGTAAAAGTGAGAGGAAGCTTGTGGATTGAGATAAAGACAAGTTTGTTTTTTTTTTTTTTTTCTAAACGGAAGGGGAAAACAAGAAACAACAACAGGGGATAAAAAAGGGGGGGAGGGAACCAAGGAAAGCAGTTGATCTAAGAAAAAACAGTTTCTCACTTTTAACCAACTAAGGTTGAGCCAGTCCTCAAGTAATGGCAGCCTCACCAACTTTGATCCCTACCCTTTTTGTTGCTGATCATGACATTGCATTGTCCGGAATATCCATTTGGTCAGCTGGGGTCAGCTGTCTCAGGTGTGCCTCCTTCCACCTTGTTGTACAGCCCCAGTCTGCTCACTAGCAGAGCAGGATGAGGAACAGAACAGGCATTGATTCTGTCGAAGTGCTGCTCAGCAATAGCTAAAACATCCCTGTGTTGTCAACACTGTTCTCAGCACAAGTCCCAAATATAGCCCCATACTAGCTACTGTGAGGAAAATTAACTCTGTCCCATTCAAAACCAGTACAAATGCAACCCAACAAATAACACAGTAGATGTCTGCTGTCTCCCATAGGCCATTGAGGACGAAGGAGGAGATCCTGAAGAAATTCCTGTGGCCTCAGAACTGACCAACAAGAGAATGCCAAAAAGAACTAGCAAAGGTACGGCATCTAGACATACGGTTTCTTTGTTTCCGTATAGCTAGAACTTAGCATACAAGTTAATGTCTCCTGTTTCGTTAAGTTGGTTTTGAGTTTGGTTTTCTTTTTTTTTTTTTTTTTTTTCTCCAATTAAGTGCTTTTTCTTTTTCCCTTATGGGAAACAGTATAAATTCCACTGTATTAGTGCATGATAACAAGTTTAAACAATATGACACCTAACCATACTTAAATTAGCAAGTCTTGAAACCTGTAGATGAGACTGTAAGTTGCAGATGTTTCTGTACTTGTGACTGTGAGTGTAGAATTGTCAGGCACAGGCAAGCAGCTGCAGCATCAGATCCTGTGGAAAGCTCTGCCAGAGTATATTAAGGTGGCTTCACAACACCCCAAGTACTAATTTCCTTGCTGTAACTACATACATTTTCTTTTTTTCCTAGAAGCCTTTGAACCTCCGTCAGCATTGGGATACATTTTTAAATGCAAGAAGTTACAGTGGGATTAATTAGAACCATTGTTGCATAAATAACAAATGTGTATAACTTTTGGTAGTGTCAAATTTAATTTAACTGTCTGTTGTTTTGAAAATAAACTTTTTAAATAGCTCATTAGTAATTTTAAGTATATATTCCTTCAACAAACATTAAATATTATGTGGGCTGTGTTACGTGTGGTTTATTTGAATTGCCCATTGCCAGTTCTTAGAGAGATACTTTCTGAAACTTAGTACTTTCTTTAAGATAACAGGGTAAAAATAGACAGAGCAGTTTTTGAATAGTGATGCAAGTTTGTTGGTGGCAGATAGGCCTCAATGTGTGCAAGATCTTAAAAGTGAAGATAAATTCTAAAGCAGTTTAATTATTTAAATTAGAAGAGGTGGTTGGTTGGTTTGTTTGTTTTTAGTAATGATGATAGGGTGTTTCTTTTAAATGGAACATCTTCGTAGGCGGAGTTGGGATTTTAGGTATTGAACTGTTGTGGAATGAGAGGACTGTAGCTGTTGAAAAATATAGCTATGCTCCTTCTAGTTCATGCTCATGCCATTCACTTGTATCGAGTGGCAGGTCATCCTCTGGTATATCCAGACAGACCAGGACTTCTGAGTTAGGGTCTTAATGATTATTTGTTGAAACAAACACAACACTGAATAGATTATTCAGCAGAGAGTAAATGTGTTATGAATTTTAGTGCTATCTCTCACTTCAGTGTTATTAGTTTTAGGAAGAAAACCAGAAGAAGAAGGTGTTGAAGACAATGGACTAGAAGAAAACTCTAGAGATGAGCAGGTAAGTGAAATAATGGTTGCTCTTACTAAGAATATGGATCATTTAACCCACAAAAAATACGTATTTACCCTTTTTCTTTCTGTAGGAGGATATTGAAGCAAGTCTGGATACCTTGCAAGACATTGACATGATGGATATTAGTGTGTTAGATGAAGCTGAAATAGATAACAGCAGTGCTGTAGACTGTGGAGAAGACTATAGTCCTGATAATATTCTCGATTCACTGTCTGATAATAAAGATAATGTTGAGGCAGAAATGAAAGAACTTCCAGATCAGCTAACAGAAAATGAGGTAAGTGAGTAGACATCATTGTAAACTTTCAGAAGGTATTTAAAAAGTGTGTGGACACATGAGCAAGTTATTTTACTGTAATAGAATGTAAGATGTGAATGTGATAATGGATTATATTTCACATTAACAGCTCTCATGTACTACTCTTTAAGTAGTAAACGTTCCTGGACTTATCAGAGGTTTGAAATGCTCACAGTAGATGGGTCACAGCATTCCTTACCTTGCAGCAACATCTTTTCTTGCCATGAAAGAAGCCTCAAACTGAAAGTAATGTATTAGTTTCAGTGTTCCCTCTTCCCATTTATATGTGTTTAAGTGTATATATGCATATGCTCAGCCATCTAGATACTTATACATATGGAGAGAGGAAAAAAGTTTTCAATTTGAATGATTTGGAAATGTTTTCCACAGAAATAATGTTCTGGTTTAAAGACTTTGTGGTACAATTTTCTCACAGAGATTAATAAAATAAGAAAATCTTTACGTATTGTGTAGTGCCCTTTTTTGACATTACCAAGCCTTTGACTTCGTATTGAAAGCAACTTACAGTGTCTTTTACAGGTAGTATAGTATAGTCTCTGCTACTGAATGAACAGGGTAATCTATATGTTAAGTTCACTCTCCAAATAGTATCCTTTCTTGGATCCTTGTGGTCTTTTTTTTAAATTTTAGGCTTTTGGCTCCTAAAACTGAACAAATTGTCCTTCCTTGCCTCCTTATGGTTGGAGGTTTTTTTGTTTTAGTTTTTTATTATTTTAGAGCTGTGGTGTCTGTCTCAACTTTATCATTTGCCATCTGAAAACAGAGTAATTGTGGCAACATTAAGTTAACCTGAACCACTTTTGTCAATCAGAACTATTGTGAATCGTATAACCAATAAGCTTTGATCAGCTTCATTTCTAGCTTCTATTTTTCAGTTGGAAACTCAAGTAAAAAAAGAGGGAAAATGGAAAAATGTGTTACATACCGGAACCACAGAAATGTGAAACAAGTTCTCTTTCTAAATAAGAGTAATTTAGAAATAGGCCATGTCATGTTGACATTAAAATGAAAGGTAACTGGAGAAAGATACTTAATCATCAGGAATGTTTATTTTTTGCTCATCTTACTTCGGTCACAATCTGAAATAGCAACTGAGATCTGTCAGATACTGGAAAATCTTTCTCATGTTATTGCTAGGGAAAATTGAATACATTAGTATTTCTCCATAAGCTAATATTTTTTTGTAAGAAATGCTATAATTCGTTTTTTACTCTTTTAGGAAGATTATGATGATATTGAAAACAATTTAGATGCC